TATATGTTTACAGTATTTTCATATTTTTGTATCTAATGTACAAATTTTATATCCGTAGAAAAACTTTATTATTAATAACTTATTATTAATAGTCATATTGTTAATAGCCATCGCTCTCATTTATTTCCTGGTTTTTCAAAACAATATCTACCTCTTTCTTTATATCTGGCGAAATGGATATGGCGTTCTCGGAAATCTCCTTCAATTTTTGAATATTTATCACGTTCTTTTTCTACAAAATGAAAGTTTTTTTATAACAATTGCAAGTACATTTTAAATAGGCAATTGAAAATTAACTACTTCTTGTTCTGCGATCATAGCATTTACACGGATGAGCTTCTTTGTATTATCATCTGCTTTTCTTCTCAGTTGTACCAGTTCTTCCAGCAGGTTTTTCTTCTGCGTCGTCAATTCGTTTATCTTTATACGAATCGTTTCGTTTGGATCTTTGTAACCCGATTTTTCTATGCACGCCTCGTAGTTGAGATGTATGTTCTTGAAACGCTCACAAAGATCTTCCTCCTCCAATCTCACATTATCCAACACGAATCGCGCTTTCCGCTGCAATTGCCTGACGTCGCAAATTTCCGTTTCTATATTCTCGTACTCGTTGCAGTAGCTTTGCAACATTGGCTTACAATAATTGATTTCTCTCTCAATTTGACGAAGTTCATTCTTGAGATCATTCATTACTTCGACTTCATTAGACACTGCACACATATAAACCACATTTCTGATCAATTATGTCTATTTCTGCCAATATAGATTCACTTTAATCTCGATTTGACTTATTTTTTATCTTTTTCTAATTCTAAAAATTGGAAAAAGAAAAAGAATAAATTAAATCAAGATTAAAGTTAATCTATGTCATGTTGATAGAAATGCATTTTTCTATCAAAAGATAAATCTTTAAATAATTAAAAAATTATTCACACTAGATTAGTGCACATTAAAAAGTTGTTTTATATAATGTATCTAACGTAAATGCAAATATAATCATATAATCAACTTTGACAAAGAAATATATTTTTTTACAGATTAATTGTTATTTAATATCATGAGTCTTCTTTTATATTTAGAAATATTACATGTACATTCTGTTAAATAACGTGACAATATCATTAATAAAAAGTATAAGAGTCTTCAAGCTATAATTACAGAAACTGTTAAAATCTATTTATAATATATCATTGATTATAATAAATCATTGATTAGATTAATTTTCAGATTTAGACGTTAATGTAATGTAAGCACGTGAATCTAATTATGTTTTAAACGGTTTTATTTAACAGTTTTCCGTGTCCGACTCCTATGCCCTTTTACTTTTTATTATCGATTTTGAAGGAGTCTTATTTTATTATTATATGACAATATTTTATCGCGAATTTAATTATTTAAAATACTTATATGCTTTTATATTCATACCTTTGCTATTACTTCATATAGCAGTTTTTAATATACACTAATTTTTGTGAAAACGAACTCGCAAGTGACCAAACTCGCTGTAACTTTAACTCTCGGTTCACTTTTATTCATTTTTTTTAGTTCAAAAAATTAGAATCAAAATCTTAGAAGAATCATTACCTTTTATTTTTAGAAAAAAATGAAGGTATAAGATGAACAAAGATTAAAGTTAATCGATATTGGTGAGGAAACAGCATTAAGCTTTACATTAAACTTAAAATTTTATAAAATGAAAGTAACTAAAAAAATAGTTAAGTGAACAGAGTAATAAAGCTTATCATTTTTTAAAATTTCATAAAATTTATAATGCCAAAGCATTTTATTTTATGAAAAAGTAGATTGCTAACAATTACCAGCGTATCGATCAACAAACTCTCCGAAATTTTGAACAAAATCATTATCCATCTCGTTAATTATTATAATTGTTCGGATTCAACGGATTCAAAGTTATCCGACAATTATGATGACGTTCTTAATGAAAAGGTCGGTCTTGCGGAAGATTGTGTAGCTCGCAATTTCACCGTGCACTAACGCCCTCCTAGAAACATTGCGGCCAAAGTAGAAAGCAGAGAGCTAAATGCTGCTAAATGGGTGGTAACAAGAGAGACACGGGAGAGGTTGCAATTACCATGCTGGGAATCGGGTCTGTATTTTGAAACGAGATGAAAATTACAAAAGTGAACAAATTTATTTGGATGTTGATTAATGAAATTGTAAATATTGTAATAAAAAAATTCACTCACTTTGTAATTTTCACCTTAAATATTTCAGAATAGAATCAATAATTGATATTTTAACATTGTTTTCGATATAAAAAAATGAGGCATCAACGTCGATTACAATTCATTTCGATTATCTTTGATATAGTGATATTATAAGTAATTGTACTTTTTTCAAATTGCATTTGATTTAGACTCACGTTAAAAATATAAGGAAGAACCAGGACTAATGAGAGTACAGTGTTAAGGATGCGCAAAAAAATAATATTATTTTTTCCTGAATTAAAGAAGTAAAAGTTTACTTGTTTTTACTCTCAATAACCTTGGTTTTTTTCTTATTCTATATAAATAATGTACGTAAAAATTCTATATATATTCTATATAAATTGCATGTAAATGTTTTTGACCTTTGCTTCGATTCACGTCTTAAATCATTATCGCGTTGAAATTGGCTGCTTCTCGCGTCTCGACGAATCCTTGCGATTCTCGAACTTGAATCCAGAACGCATTGCGGCGAATTGTCGAGTTCGTATTGCTCTGTATTTCTCGTCATTTCTCGCGATTGTTTGCCATTTGAAAGCAACGTTTCGCGCGCGGAAACAAGGTTTTCATGAGGATTTCGTGAAATGTCGGTGATTCATCGAGATTCGTTGGACATCACATGCAACAACGATCGCTGCGATATCGGCGATCTCTCAGTAGGCCTGGAAGAGTTCATTGAAATCGTCCTTCGTACTTATTTTTTGAGGTGCAGCGAGGCGAAGAAAGTAACGAGTATCTTATCATCAGATATATACAAATAATAATTAATTTTATAAATTAACTGGATCAATTAATTGCGCTGTCTTCGATAATTGTTTATTTTTGATATTTCAATTTTATTGCGACATTCCTGATTTATTTATTTTATTGACTGTTGATTCTAATTGCGCTTTTTACATTTATTTTTCTTATTTTCCCTGTAAGGGAAAATTTATTTGTATCTTACTTATGTATTTGTTAAATCCAAGAAGATGATCTAATAAAAAAGGAATGAAGGTTGGATATCGATCACACAATTTGATAAAGATTAGAAAAATGAGCGAATTTATTTTACTAAAATATTTATAATTTTATTACAGCTCGTGAATTTGCTTATTCTATAACTTCTATCAGATTGTATGATATTATACACAATCCGGGAGATAAATCATGTATAATTTTTTTCTTGAACGGAAACGTGAAAAGTAAATATTTTTATATGCATACTGAAAAAAAATTTTCTGAATATAAGTAATTTATTTCTTGAGTAGTTCCAAGTAAACATTTCTTTACTGCAAGTAAATATTTATTAAATGTAAACATATATTATTTGTTACAAATAATACTTGCAGTAAAGAAATGTTTATTTGAAACTGAAGAAATGAATTACTTAGATTTATAAAAGCTTTTTTAGTGTACGTGTATATGTATATACATACACACAGAGCTACATTTGAAATACTTTCATTTAAAACAGTATTTGTATATACAAATGTATTTCGTATATCAGTGGAAGACATAGAAGTATTACGTATTTTGTACTTAAAATCATCAGATTGAAAGTTTTTAATTGTAATTCAAATAATATAATTCATTGTCAACTTTAGTATTTGAAATACAAAATACAAACTATAATTGTCTTACTAGTTTTTTCAAATAAAAATATTTCAAATATCCGCCCAGTTCTGTATACATATAAACATTTTTATATGTTTATGGTAAGGAAAATGTTACATGATTTCCTGGTCGAAATCTACTCCGCGATTAGCATATTGCTGAAAACGGCGGCAGATTCAAATGTGGCCTCGCAACATGGCGGCCGGCGCCCGGATCGTTTCCCGCGTAAAACAGCGCCGCCCCGCGATTGGCCGCGCTCCACCAATGGCTCGGCGTCACGCGCTCTGCGCCGCGAGATGGCGGCAGCGTACGATCACAGTGATCACAACGCACCCGCGATTCGCCATTGCGACGTGATTGCCTACTACCGAACTTTCATATCGTGTTCGTGCGTGAGAATTCGTTCCGGTGTGTCCCACGTCGGACTTCCTTGGCTGCGGCCTACGCAAGTACAAGTAAGTTGAGAATCGCCTTCTGTCGCGCGAACGCGCTCAAATTCGCCGGTCGAGAAGCGGAATCGCGCGCGCCGTAGATCGAGACGTCACGCATTACAGAGGCGCGTCGTCGCTGAGGGATACGCTTTTTCTTTTCTTCGCGGAGAGTTAATCCCGTATTTCCGGCCGCCGTCGTCATCGTCGTCGTCGTCGTCGGTGATCGACGTGTCGGTTTCTACCTCGCGTCCCTCCATCGCGCCGCGCTCGCTCGTGGCCGTTACTGATTGCGAATCATCAACAAGCGGCGACGTCTCGATTCTCGCATTCCTTCTTTCTTAACGCGTAACATTCCAGCGTGTTCGTACGCCGTGGCACCGACAGCGGTACGTGGTCGCTTTTGGAGGTTATACGTCGCGACAATGCGACGCGACGCGACGCGGCGCGGTGCCGCGTCAGCCGCGTGAGCGATGATTGCACGCGACCGCAAAAATTCCGAGTCGATACTTGGGGATCTTTTTATACTTTCTTCGAGTTGACTCTTTGCTTGAGATGGTGGTTGACTTCGATGGTACTCCGGAGCCTTATTCTCGAAAAATGTATTAGGGCTGCATTCCAAAATGTCCTCTCCAAGGAAAACTTTACTCGATATAATATAGTATATGTTACGTGTACTATATATTTCGAGTAAAATTTTCCTCGGAGAGGACGCTTTGGAATGTAGTCATGGCTTTATAGAAATACTAGACATCTGTGGCTACATTCAGCAGAAAAAGTAGCTTTGTAAATGTCGTAAAAATAAATTTTTTAACACGATTTTATATTTAGTTCTTCACTGGATCTAAATGTATAAATCAATTATGTTAAAGAATTTTACAATAGCAAGAATTTTGCAAAGCTGGCTTTCTCCGTTGAACGTAGCTAAGTATAAATCAATTGTATTCGCCCCTTTAGATTCTGCACACATTGTAATATACATCACACATTTGAAGATGTCCATTAAAATTATTTAATTCTATCGATATTATCTGAGATCTCATAATAATGTATATGTTGTAAAAATAATCAAAATTTTGAAAAAAATTAATTATTCAATGTGAATTATTTATTAAAGTGCGCATGAATTGAATTAAAAGAAAATATTTTTAATATAGTTCCAATAAAATCAGATTAAAAGGTTAAAGAAAATCTTATAATAG